TTAGTATAAGTGATATTATTTCCTTAATTAATGGGAGAGAGAGGGAGTCGATGTCACTTGGACGTTAGATAATAGTTGATAGTTGTGGAAAAAATGAACAAAGTTATGGAAACTACAGAGTCATTCTTCGTTTTGGGTTACAAGAACGTTATTCGAACGTGCTTGGACATCGCTTCACGGATGAATGTCCTGTTTCATTTCATGAAATCGAACGTCTGAAAGAGGCAGCAAACGAATAAATAATAATGACAGCTCTATCTTCTTCAGCGGCCCACAAGAACCTTGTAATAATGGGCAATGTTTTGACAGACTGTGTTATTCTACTCTTTTCATATTCTTTCTTCTTTTCTAGTTTTTAGATTTCCGATAAAAAGTTAAGACCTGAGAGACAGATATCGACAAAAAGAGAGACATTTATGTCATCATTTTAAACTCTATTTCCAGGGTACGTATGTTGATTTCACCTCAAACAAACCACGTTGCAATCGACAATCCATAATATCGACAAAATAATAACTCATACTCATATCTAAGTAGTTAGATAGCTATAGGCATAATGCGCTTAAAATGTCTTCGCGTTGTGCCTGGGTACAACTGATGTCATTGCTTCGTAATAGACTTGTTCGGACGGAAGACAAATCCTTAACCAAGATCCTTTGTTGCCGGGGAATGTGCCCCTCCTCCGCTCCCGTGTGCCAACATCGATTCAAGCCCTTGCTGAGTACATCAAGAGCACATTTACCCGAACTTTTAAGTTTCAGCTGTTGAAAGTGGCCACCTGAAACGGTTAAAAAAGAGAACAAATGAATGAAGAAGCGCGTGGAAGAGTTTTTTTTCTTGTGAAAGTAAAAATCTTGAACATGTTCAATTGTTCACGATCGATTTGAAGAGCTTCGTGTGATTTCGATAAAGGTTTTATTTGCGCGTAATGTCAGCTACATTGTAACAAAAGTAATGCGTGAATTGTCGTCGAACGCAAAAAATAAATAATATGAAACTGTAATGTAGTTTTTGTATTTTTTACTGCCCGGAAAACGGTGACAGTACATTCTTGTTGAAATTCAACGATACCATATATTAAAATGAATTTACTCGACGTTCATCGCTGTTACGTAATAACCATGATACAATCAACACTTGGAACACACGTTATGTTGTGCGTGGGGTCGTTAAACGTGGGGGGGGGGGGGTAAACGTGTTTGTTTATAAGTTTCGGAACTTGAATGACGATAATAAAACTTCGTTGGTCAATAAAAATTTAACGCAGAATTTATTAAGACAACTTAAAAATTAAAATAAAGAAACGTACGCGCATCACTTTCGGAAAACTTGCTGGCCAGAATTGTTTTTCTTTTAAGTTGGGTGGACACGGTGTCAGCAGAGTCACTGTTTTTTTCGAATGATCATTTGAACCCCGCCGCATGAGGGCGTAGGACAATTGGTCACGGAGTCCGAATCGTTCGTCCGACGATTACGCAGACGCATAGAGCTACGAGGCGTTGGGATAACTTGTGTTAATATATATGTCTTATTCTTTCACCCCCACTTATCGGATGATAACTTTATAGAGTTGTAATCCTACTACAAGAATAATATCATATCTAGTATATAATAACATATATTATATTATAAATGTATATTTTTTAATTTTATTATTGAAAAAAAAACACAAGTTATTTTTAACTCTCTGTGATAGAGTTAACATACTTAATGGCTAATTTAACGATTTTTGGTAATTAGTAGATTTAACATTTGAACTGTGTTTTACCGTGACAGAGTCCGTATAATTTACTGACTGTGGTGAAGCGAGAATCACATGTTATTGTGAAAGATATATAAATCTCATTTTAAGAGGGGGTAATTTTGTTGAATTATTACCGGTTTATCACTTTACTCATGTAACCTGACGCCCCCTGACAGCATGTACGTGCCTCGGTGCAATGCATTTTATAGTAACATAAACTAATCGAAACAACAAGTAAATATAACGGATATCCGGGTTATACAATGCTCAAAACTAGGCTAAGTTTTTTCCTTTTTCTTTTTAACCAGAAAACGGGATATCTTCCACTATGCTTGAAACCAAAAATTCATAAAACATCGATGTCATGATGGACCCCCCCCCCTCTCGCCACAGTATTCGATGCTACAGTAACCTACGGCGTTTTGTCCGTCACTCAGATGTTGAAATCACGTAATTCAAGATTTAAGTCGGTTTATCGGTCACGTGCCACAATTCAGACCCACCCGCCCAATCAATTAGCGAGCACTTGGTAATCATGCCCGACCACGTTCCAGTAGATCGCAGTGGGTGATCCCTTCCGAGGGAAATCGTTGTTTCCAAAACACGAACGCTTTTAGGCGCGTGAAACAGTATAAATAGCGGCCGCCGATAAGATAAAACAACTGAAGTTACAGTGCTCTGATTTTATTGTCCTGCTACTGGTCTTTTTTTTTTTTTACAGAAGATGTACCGATAAAGCAAACCAAGAACAAAGGGACGCGTGCGCACATCAATCGCAAGTGACGTCACATAGTCGGTCTGAAGGACACATTTTGTAGGTCGGCTTCAGCATAGAACTACAAACCAGTCCCATGGCCTCAGTAAGCATGGTTTTGACAAGTTTTCTAAAGAAATGAGTTTGAAAAGGGTTGTAATTTTGAAACTATTTACTGTTAGTGCGTTTATTATTGTCTGGCGTTACAAAACTTCTACTATGTTACTCGGAAATGAAGACAATGGCACAAAATGACTCAAGGTTACAAGAATTACAAAACAAAAAGTATAAAACAAATACCAAAAAACGACACATTTATGCTATAACTGTGAAGTTATTACAGCTGGTGCTTTCTAATGTGGATATAGCCCTATATGATTCATCCCCGCATGGAGCCGTTTTTTGTTCTCTCTCTTTCCTTCCTTGCTCATTCTATTGAAATCTTTCTGCCCCGAGAAGCACTGAACCAATGAAATGTACAACAAAAACAATGAAACGAAACTCAGCAACTGTATCGTTTCGGAAACAAACGCTCTTTGCCTCGGGTGATTGCATGTAATCGTACACACGCACACGGCCATGCTCTTTGGCATTGCATTAATAGTGGAACCGGCGCTCAACGCCCGGAAAACAAATCCTTACATATTTACATGGAAGCACTATACGACTACGGTGGGTTTCTAAAAAAAAGGGTTGGAGAAATTGATAAACATTAACAGTTATTGAAAGAATTCGTTCCAGGCTTGAATAGAGGAAACATTTTCGTTTTTTTTTTTTTTTTACAAATATAGTCGGAGAGAGTAAATTGAATACGACCGTGAAACCCCAACACATGGCAGCACACACATACATACAACGGAGTCTTTTCTACTCTCCGCGAATAGATCGAAAATTCGATATTTCTCCCCTCTTTTCGGATTATTCTGGCAGGCAATTAGACAGCGCGATGAGGTCAACCACATAGAGGTACCCTTTATGTACAAGCCAACTAATCGATTCTGCGCAAAAAAATATATATATACTGTATCAGTATGGTAGTGGTTTGTGTTTGTTTCCGAAATCGACATCGATTTCTCCCGCCAATTATTTCAACAAATATTACGTGGTTACCACTCTCGGACCATTAATTAAAATATAATAAAACGCACCGGCGTGCATAAAGACACTGGTACACTCTCATTTACTCTCGGGTTAATTAGGAAGATTAGAATTTCTTTCTTTCAAAACTTATGCTAGCTGCAGTTACCCGGATGTTAACAATTCAAAATGTCGATGCTATGTACTGTATTATTTTTGTTCTAGAAACAAAACTGTGCAACAAGTAAATACATCTCGGTGCGTTGTTACGTAACTTTGCGAGAAAGCCTTATGATGCGGACATATAGCGATTTCGCTCACCACATGCGCGTGGCACGTGACTATCCATGGCTCTGGACTGCACATATATGCCAATTTTTCGCCGCAATTACACATGACAATCTTTAAATTCCTACAACGCTCTGGGTTATTTAAAAAAAACGTAAAAAAATGATTTTACAAAAATATCAATATTTCGTGCAACATGTTTTCATGTAACTTGTATATAGGGGTAGAGAAGACACCTCCTCACCTCCAATACAATACATCATTATTACCCAATGTCCCGTATCGAATTAATTGATTTTGAATTGGCTAACTTTTACATGTTTACTCGAATACCAGTCTTAATATTTCGATTTACAATTGCGTGTCATTGCTTCGAGAAAAGATTTGTATGGCTTGTAAATCGACGCCTGATAGTATACTTACATTACAGTGTCTACCACGACTGTCTTAAATTGGCCAGTGGGTGTTTTATTATTTTCGTCGTTATATGCCCTAACCTGGTTATGACTTGGCATGTGATATCACAGTTTCGACAACATTGAATATGCGACAAATTAAGCACAAATTAAGTTACGCGTCTTCATAACCACAGTCCGATTAACTGAAACCTCCCCAATTCAAGTTCGCGACAGTCGCGCTACAAATTAGTTGAATCATGGCCACTTGATAGTTACGGCTCATAAACAACTCGCATTCATGGTTTATGATATGCCGTAGTCACCACGTAATCATGATTTAACTAGTACCTCGTATTAGTAATATACTAGTAGCTAATAGCTAGTCATGAGCGGTGCTCGGTATAGTGCGCTTCGCCTAACCATTCGCCAGTGGACAATGTCGAATTATTCTTATATTAAATTAAATTACGCCACATTCGCCAGACTGAGACGAATTAAAATTTGGTGACTGGAGAAGAAACGCCGCTATGGCTAACGTATTTCATCCGTAGCGACACCCAGTTACTGACTCTGGTGTTAAAACTCCTTAAACCTGGTCGTACGTCATCCCAGAAGCAGCAGGTAATCCCTAAAAGTGATGTGGGACTTGAAGCATAGATATTAAGATTGGTCCAGTTAACGTGCCTTGGAATTATTGTTATTGTAAAGGGTTAGGTAGATAGATATACCATGTATCAAACTAAACCCCAAACCTAATGACGTCATCGTTCAATATCATGATGGCATCATTCAATATCATGATGGCATCGTTCAATATCATGACGTCATCGTTCAATATCATGATGGCATCATACAATATCATGATGGCATCATTCAATATCATGATGGCACCGTTCGATATCATGATGGCATCGTTCAATATCATGATGGCATCGTTCAATATCATAATGGCATCGTTCAATATCATGATGGCATCATTCAATATCATGATGGCATCATTCAATATCATGACGTCATCGTTCAATATCATGATGGCATCATTCAATATCATGATGTCATCGTTCAATATCATGATGGCATCATTCAATATCATGATGGCATCGTTCAATATCATGATGGCATCGTTCAATATCATGACGTCATCGTTCAATATTATGACGTCATCATTCAATATCATGATGACATCATTCAATATCAAGATGGCATCGTTCAATATCATGATGGCATCGTTCAATATCATGATGCCATCGTTCAATATCATGATGTCATCGTTCAATATCATGATGGCATCATTCAATATCATGATGGCATCATTCAATATCATGATGGTATCATTTAATATCATGATGGCATCGTTCAATATCATGATGGCATCGTTCAATATAATGATGGCATCGTTCAATATCATCATGGCATTATTCAATATCATAATGGCGTCGTTTAATATTATGATGGCATCATTCAATATTATGATGGCATCATTCAATATCATGATGGCATCGTTCAATATCATCATGGCATTATTCAATATCATGATGGCGTCGTTCAATATTATGATGGCATCGTTCAATATTATGATGGCATCATTCAAGATCATGATGGTATCGTTCAATATCATCATGGCATTATTCAATATCATGATGGCGTCGTTCAATATTATGATGGCATCATTCAATATCATCATGGCATTATTCAATATCATGATGGCGTCATTCAATATTATGATGGCGTCGTTCAATATTATGATGGCGTCGTTCAATATTATGATGGCATCATTAAATATCATGATGGCATCATTCAATA